GTTTCAGTGGGAGACAGCTCTTCCACTATGAAGTAGTGCTTGGATTTACGTGAAAAAGGTCTCAGTTTGGTGAAGTTAAAACTAAGCGCAGTTACATTGTGTCTGCCAAGCAGTTGTTTTATTGAAATATTTGTTTGCGTATGTTACCTAAATCAAATGGCTCTGGACTATTCGCTCTTGAAATCGATCTTATCGGCATGGATTGATTTCCAGATCCGATCTGCTTCATCCTGCCCATTTTTTGGTACTTTGTTAGCCATTTCGTCTGATATATTGTAGGCACCAATCGGGGCACACAAATTTAGCTGCATTTTCAACACTTTTGACGGATACGTTTTCGCCGTTTCACTTCCTTCAGCTTTCTGCTGTCTAGAGGAAAACAGTTTGTAGCTCGTCTTCACAACCTTTGTCTTTTCTTCAAAATATCTGTTGTACAGTGCCTGCAAAGTTGTCTGTGTTGCTAGTACTTAATCAAAAATTTTTTAACGGAACTGCTTGCGTTCAGAATTCATTGTGATGCTCGCTACCGTGCCAATAATCTAGTGAGCACCGCACATGCAAAAAGTACGACGACGAAAAGGATGAGGAGGAACAGGAGGAGGAGAAACAGGGGAGGGGAGTGGTGCTGCAGTTTTTTTGCTATCAATTGCTTTTTGTATTGTATTCTTTAGAAGTATTCTGACGAGCAATTTTGCTCGACTAATTACAGATCGGGAGTGCATCAGCACGAGACAAAAAGCTTCAGGAAAAGTGTTCTTCACTTCGATTTGTTTAGAATGATTTCCCGACTTCTGAATTTGATATTTGAGGGGCAAATACAAATAACCCTTGTTTCCGGGCCCATACCTCGATATAATTACTAAATGCTTCCATGCCCTGCTCCTCGTCTTGATCCAGCAACTTAGATTCGTAGCAGTACACTGGCAGCGTATTAGAGCAACAAAGCACAGCAATATAGCACATCCCAAATGGCATCGAATCATGCTGGCCAGTAACTAAACTTAGTCGAAAGTGTACCGGCTGCCGGTACGAGGATGCGTTTTTTGCACAGTCCCCCCGCAGGTTTTTTTCGCCAGCGGCACGCTCTTCCCGGCAGATGCTTCTAGCTAAAAGAATTGTGGCTGGCCACCATGACTGTTAGAAATTATTACAATGACTCCCAATCCGTGCGCAAAAAATTCAGCTTTCTGGATGCTTCGGTTGTGGAGTTACGCCAAATTCCACGTGTTCGTACGTGAGTGGCAATGCGAGTGTTTTCTTCGCCTGGGGTTACTTAAAGACGGCCCTAGGTAGTGCTCAAAAAGTTTCAGTACTCAAGCTGTTCTGGTTGCAAAGTTACGTCAAATTTCACGTGTTCGTACGTGAATGGTAAAGTGAATGTTTTCTTTGTTTGCGATTACTCAAACACGGCCCTGGGTAACGCTCGGAAAGTTTCAGCATTCCAGCTGCTCTGGTTGCAGAGTTACGTCAAATTTCACGTGCTCGTACGTGAGTGGTAACGTGAATGCTTTCTTCACCTGTGGTTATTCAAATACGGCCCTGGGTAATGCTCAGAAAGTTTCAGCACTCCAGCTGCTCTGGTTGCGGAGTTATGTCAAATCTCACGTGTGTGCACGTGTTCGTACATGAGATGCAGAAAAGATGACAAGTAATTTACTTTCACGGGTACAACAGTGGACGACAAGTAAAGCTGCAAAATTCCAGCTCTCTACAGCTTATTGATCAGCTCAACCCTGGAGCTGGCTTTGACGTGTGAGCACGTGAGACCTGGGAATGTGTGAAGGCTGAATTTGAAATCTTCGGATTATAGGCGGCCAAGGAACACCTCTGTGAAGTTCCAGCCTCCAAGCATGAGCCGTTCCTGGAAACGCTTTCCCGCCAAAAAAACTTTCACGTGCCCCCAAGCAAGAACACCTGAGCGTCCATTTTAAGGGTACA